CGATCATCACGAGGGACATCACCACCACGAGCATCACAAACACCACGAGTCGCACGAGCACAAGCATGCGCATTCCCACGAGGAGGGTCACAAGCATTTCGACGAGCACGACCACAAGCATCACCACGACGGCCATCACAAGCACCACGAGGAGCATCATCACGCGGCGTTCGAACAACACGGACACGAGCACTTCAAAACGGTCGGCCATTACTTCGACGCCTCGCAGAACCACGAGGAGTACGTGTTCCCGGAGGAGAGCGAGGCGGTGGCTGTGACGCCGCCAGTCGAAGATATACTTAAGATTAACAAGAAGGAACCGGAAGTCGCGGCGACCGCCGATAATCCAACGGCGACTCAGGCTTAGATCGAATGTCGATAGAAATGTTATGCAATTGCTTTTATTGAAAGGGAATGGGATAGAGAAAGACGCGTTAAGGTAATGGAACCTCCGTTTTCCTGGAGATTATTCACCTGATTCGCTGATCATTTGATAACTGGTGATCGTTCTGTGGAATATTGTTGTTTTATATTAATCAGACTTAGCTGAATATCATATAATCACCGCAGATCTAAGTCAATTCTTTTGAAAAAGAAATCAAACTTTCACTCGAAGTGTAGATTACTTGGAGCCATTATCAAAACGATCCATCCAGCTGAACTCCATCAAACTTTCCACATTTCGATCGCAATCAGCAGACTCAGAATAAAAGTACTTAGACAAAGGAACAAAGGAGGTTCCACTAGCAACATTTATCCAAAGTTCCGTAGACTTATTTCCTTCGCCGGATTGCGCCGACCGACAAGGGCCCGTTAATCGCAAACTGTTTCTCGTTAGCCAGCCTCAGTTGTATCTTTTGTTGACACCTTTGAAATATAAAGTTTTCACAAGTTTACGTCCGCAGCGTCCCTCCCCCCTTTATTAATCCCGCCCCCTCCGAAAGCCGGGTCGCGGAAGTCCGACAGGAACGGCACGGTTCGCCGCCAGCCCCCGGTTCCCAACTCGCGACAGCGTTTAAACTTTCGGGTCCCAAGATATTCGGGATCTCGGGGTATCCTCGGTCCGCGGTGAAGTCGCAGGGGAAATACACTGGGAGGATGTGAGAGCAACATTTAATGAAACGTCTGATGGCCGACCAGCGGAGATAGCAGCGGTATCTCGACGGGCGACCGCGGCGGCCATGAAACGAGCATAACCTGTTCGAGATCGTTAACCCCTTAGCTTATGATCTCTTTCTGAACTCTGATACGGCTACTTTGTCATTAATAATTTATTGGGAAAAGAGAAAAATTCTAAACATATGCCTATATCTCCATTTGAGTATAATAGTTGATTAGAGGAATAATATTTACTTTGCATTCGAATGAACCGAGTAATATATATATTTGTTGAATCATTAACCCTTTGAACTCTGTAGGCTCCAATATTGCACCAGTTATAATATCAAATATTTTAACGAATCAGAGCTTGTAACTACTGTTTAGTTTGCTGTAGGTTAGTTTAATGTACACTAGGTGCGTTTGATTTTATTACACACCTCTCGAGAGATTTTTGAAACAAAGTTCCACGGTTAACTGTTTAACAATGGACGTCGAATAAGAACACGCTGCCGGATAGCTCGAAATAAATTCGAGGAATAATCTTATAATGCGACGGGACACGGCTTGCTCCCTTCGATAGCTGATTTGAAGAACTCGCGACGAGGAGTTGTAATCCCAGGGCTCTTCGGTTCATAATGTCGACTTAAAGTCTCGTTCTAGAAGTGACGAAGAGCTATCGGCGCAGGATCCGGATTAACGGACCGTCTCGAGGAAGGTTCGGAAAGGGGAAAAATAAGGCGAGATCGTTGGCTACGGCTTGCAATGGATTGTTCGCTGGAGAAATGGGGGATTGCGAATTCTAAGGGACGGAGGATTTTGGAACAGGCTGGATAGAATTGCGCGAAGAATTGCGTTCTTTCGCTCATTCCCGAGAATGAAGATCTTTACGATTAGAATGCGGATATAGAAAGTCAAATTTAGATCCTAGCTGCATAGAGAAATAGACATGTTTTACTAAATTTCTTGAATATCTTAAAAAACTCTGACACTTGCTGTTTAACAAGAATTCTATCACTGTATAATTTACCAAACTAAGTGGCCTTTCTCGAAATATTAGTTCTATTATAAATGATTCAAAATAAAAATTGCTATTACAGTATATTCAACCCCTATGCAATAGGAAAGTATATAACAAAATCTATTGAAGATTTTCTAGATTTCAAAGAATCTTTGAGAAGAAGGAAATTAAAGGTCTAAGAAATGTTATAACAATTCTCAGTAGGACTACTATCAAAATTGCTAGGAGTTGCTGACGTATCAAAAAACTATGCGGAGTGCTAAGGGTTAATGCGATAGAAATGAAAATAATATGAAATACGAGAAATCTAAATAGCTCGCCGCGGAACACTCGACGCGCGTATTAGTACGAAATTATTTGTATCGCGAAGTTCGCCGCGCGGAATAATTCCGGAGCGGCGCGGACGACTTTATTGTATCGAATAAGCGGTCGACAGGAGGCGAACGGGGGTGGCGTAACATCGGGCAGCTTGGACATGTCGAAAAGCGCGGGGAAGTTTCGCGGACGCCTATCGGGAGCACCGGGCATACGGAAACGTTAATATTTCCACGGAGTTTGATCTTGTTCCGCGGCGGCCCCCCCGTCCGGACAAAGGAAACTTTCGGAATGGAATCGAAAATCACGGAACTCGAACTAATTCCGAGCTCGCAGATTATTTTCCTCGCGATATCCGTCCCTCGGTCGGACGCCTTATTGCGTCGCTAACTTTCCGCCGCGATATTCTCTTCGCGGACGAGTTCGGGGTGCCGGACATCCGGTCTGCTGGGAAATTGCCGCGAATCCTGACTCGAGAATTGCGTTATTGTTTGGCGATCCAGCTATCGATCAACGCTAAACGTACCGATAGTTCATCGTAACCTGTTTCTACTATTAACTAGTCAAATATAGGATATAGGAGGCTCAATTAAAATAATAAAAGAAACTATGCAAATCTCGAACGGTAATTAAGAGACGTCGCTGATTCGATTAAAAATTGTATAGAGTTGTATAGAAGAAAACTTCGAAATTTCAAAGTTACAAAGTTAACAGAGTTACAGAGTTTCAGACTTTGAAAATTTCAAACTATCAACCTTTGAAAATTTCAAACTATCAAACTTTCAAAGTTTCAAAGATTCAAAATTTCAAATGTTGAAAATTTCAATAGGTTGCCAGCACAATTCAAAGTAATGTCAAACAACCATCTTCCTCCCCCAGAAAAATGTAACATCGGCACTTACAAGCTTTCCAGCGAATACTCTTCGATTAAAGATAAAGGATACATTTATCCCTCGAACAATTTCCCTATCGACGATTCGATTAGGAATTGAAATGGTTGCAACAGACTGCGATGCGCCGAACGAGGAATAAGAGGCTCGCGTCTTCGGGAGAGTCGGCCGAGGAAAATTATAATGGCCGGCAATGATCGGTTCCACCGAAGAATAAGGAGAAAAAGGAGAACAGCGAAGATCACAGAGAAGGCGAGCGTGGGAATCGATTTTCCAGGGAAATTCGAAAAAAGCAGGAATGCCTGCCGGTGAAATGGGTTAATAAATCGCTTGACGCGATAGATCCTCGGCGAAACGAAGCGGAAAGAGGGAGAAGGGGGCGGCGCGCGCGGTAGGATGGAAGGCCGCAGAGCTCGCCATCTTGGGATTTAAATTGGTCCGGCAGGTTTATCAGCATGCATTGGCCGGCGCTTGGAAAGTACTCCGCCGGCAATGCTCCTTTCGCAGTTTTAGTTCTCTCCCGCAGAGACGCTTAGAGACGCGGAAGATAAGCTGGATCCGGAGAAACCGCCGCCCGATACGGTGAATTCCATGCCCGCGGAGTCGAGTAAATCGTGGCCGGAATGAAAAGTTTCGGGTCGTTCGAGCGTCGCGTTACGTTCGACCAATTTACCGCTTCCAGTTTTTCCACGGATCTACCAACATCTTTGCATCCGCCGATCCAGACGTCTCGAGGCCGGTGATCTTACTGGGACTCGAGTATCGGCAGTGCGCCATTAATAGACATGAAAAGACTGCGGTAATGTAAGGATTGATTACCGAAATTTATTGATTAAACTCTGGAATATGGGATGGATGGAGAATTTGTTAATCATTTAGTAAACGTTTAAGTCGATTTTCATTCGTGCAATTGAAGCTACAATTTCGCGATTTATCTAGGGAATTTTCTAGGAACTATAGAATAAAGTATAAAATAACGTTTGTATATCTAGTGTTAAATTCTGGATATGTTTGTTACCTTAGAAGGTTTGCTAGTTTGAACTGGAAGAAATGATTATTCCTTCAGAACGCAATGCTTTAACACTTTGACTGCCAAGTATACACAATTTTCTTAACGACACTGAAACTAAGTAGTCAATATTCTTCATGACGATTGTTCTACTATCTTTCTAGTATCTCACATCTAACAGAATTCAGTTTGTTCGTTTCATGGTGTCACCCGAATTCGGGTGACATGGCAGCAAAAGTGTCAAAGGCAACTGAATTTTGAAAGTTGACCACGCACGAGTCTTCCCCAGATATTGACTTCTGATCGATTGAATTCCTACCGAAAAACTAGCTTACCAATTTACTCAGTTACTGACAACACAAGTTCATAATCATCACACACGGTGTGCGTCTTTCCAGCTAGCTACTCGATTAACCGATGCGTAATCGGTCTCGAGGGGGTTAATTGGCGACGCAGCGGTTCCGGTAAAGTGTCGCGTGGATTCGGAAAGAATCCCGAGCAGCCCGGACACGCCCAAAGTAATCAGACCGGAATCATATGAAAGTTGTTCAGAGGTCGGCCCGCATTCCCGCAGATTGATGCAAATCCCGAGCGCAAAGTGTCCTCCCGCGGATGGCGCAGCGGTGCAAGTGTTCGTTAACGGGAAAGCATTGCATCCATAATTCAGCGAGCGGGCGACAGTCGAGCTAAAGGGAGAGGAGTTTTTCCAGCGGGGCCGGCCGCGTTCTCAGACGGTTAACGAGAGACAAGACGGTGGATCGCGTTCGGGACGAAGAAAACAGGAAATAGGATGTCGACGGGGAAGAGGAATGGAGGCGCGGAACGTGAAAGGGTTCCGGCGTCGCATGCAAATGTTCGACAGTCGTTAATAGGCTACTTAATCGTCCCCGGAATGCAGTACGGACCGTTGCTCGCGAAACACCGAGAGTCCTCGAGGGGTTCACTCGGCACCGGCGCGTCCGTTCAAGGGAAGGGAAAAAAGCCGCGGCCACTGGAACCTCTCGTTCCGAAGGTAATTACTGCTTCTTGCCGCC